ATATATTATGATAAAAAAAACTATATGACCACTTCGTGATAATTCAATCTCTGTCGTATATTTCTGTCCAACAATCGATTCAGTTGAATTATTTACCAATTTTTACCTTGTGTGAATTTAAATACTGAAATGTTAAGCCTCTTTGGTTTGCAAATGCAGTGAATACGTTTAAAATTCTCAAACCTACAAGAAATTCTATCAGATTAAACATTCTAAAAATAGAAGTCATCTCTTAATATTATGTAATCATGAGTTGGTGTCATGATGTTAATATATCAGATGTTTCTACTCATTTCAGCTTATATTTGAGTTTGATGAAAACCAACTTATGAAAAAAATTGTCGAAAATAACAAGATCATTAAAATTGTGTCAATTAATGTTAATTTTTATTTAAAATTAATATTTTGAAGCAAACAAAAATATAAATCTTTAATTAGGAATTAATTTCAATGAAATGAAATCTGAATCTAAGCAACCCACCCTTATCCTCTGATATTCAAAATTCTAGATTTGCTTTTTAATATGACTATGAACATGTACTTTGAGCATCTTTCAAATATTGAATTGCATAAAAAATGCTCTTTATAATAATAGACTTTAACACTTAATATACTTGGTACTGTTTTCATTATTAGAGCATCTAAAGTAAAAACAGGGTATTGCAGTTATCTCCAGTGTAGATCAAATTCACATTTATCAATCTGTTCTCATTTGAAATATAAGAAACATTAATTGAATTAGTCATTAACTATCTCCGATCAATTAAAATCAGCATGCAATCGATAAAGTATCCCCTTGGGGATTTCCATGGCAACAACAACACAGGGAAATAATGGGCCCCCCCTGGGGATTTGCACTGTAACAACATCATCTAAAGTTCAGGTTCCCTGGAGACAGAGGTTCGAGCTCTGAAAACAACACCATTCTGCCTGACAGGGTCGTTAAATAATATTCAAAATGAACTTATTGCGTATTGATGTACTTTGGATCTAACGTCACACTAATAGTTTGAGCCATCTACTCATGTAATGCGTTTCAAAATAGACAGATGCGTGTTAATACTTACATACAATTGCACATCATTATATTTGCATCGTTACCTAAATCTGGAAATTAAAAGTGAAATGCAGGGTTTAAGTCCCTAGATTTCAGCTCTTGATTCAATCACACAAGGATTGTACGAGGAGGGGGTTTAGTCGGGAAATAAGGGGTAATTTGATTATTGATCTGTTTCATTTTCAGTAATTTGATGTCTAAGTGTAACAAATTTTACTGTTTGTTTTTGTTTACTGCAGGCCGATGGGAGTTGATGACTACCTGAAAGAGGCAAAGAAATTAAAGCATTTTGCTGATGCTTTGGTAAGTAAAGCTTCATGTTGGGCAAAAAGGTGGCAGAAAAACTCATATAAGACACAACGTGGTGTGGAGTACAGTCTGCCAACATTATTATTCAAGACTTTATTTATACCTTGTTTCGCGAACTTATTTTTAAGATCGCCAAAGAAGGGCATAAAAAAAGAATAAAATATTGGTTTTCATTTAACAAATAGTTTTGCCAGAAACATCCAGATGAATGAGAAAATAACATTATATTGGTGAATATTAACAGTGTATTAATGGGATGGTTAAATGCTTAAAATTTATAGAATTAAGAAGAAAATATACATATCTTATTTTTGATGATTTCAAGGCAACAGCTAGCATAATATAAATAGAAAAAAAAAAACAACTTTTTTTTTCTGAAATTTCCATTTTTTCATGGTGGTGGGTGCGGTAATTGGCCAAAATAAATTTTCGTTTTAATTTGAAATCACCGTTATTGGCGAGCGGCGGGTTCACTAAAAATTCTTGCCTTTATCGGATATCATTGTCATCATCATGCTCATTCTGCTGATAATATCCACACCAAGCCAAACTGCCATTTAATTAGAAATAGACATTAAGATATTTTTAGAAATATCTCTTTAAAACTAATTCTAATTATAGATTATATCTTAGTTTTAAATAGAAATGTTTTATTTGAACCTAAGATATTTTTCTTGTATAGAGATATATATCAATAAAGATATATTTTTACAATTTAGATATCTCTAAAACCTATATATCTTAGTCTATTAATATTTATCTGTATTATTGGAGATGTGTTTTTAGAACTAAGGTATCTATTTAAAACCAGGATATTTTAATTTCCACATAGAGTTACTATATGTTTATTTTAGATTAACTATTAGTTTGACTTGGTATCCTTATCATTAGCATCATTGTCAGTGTCATCTTCACCACTAAACCGTTATCATTATCTTCATCATTTCCATCAGCTTCTCCATCATTACAATTCTTATAAGCTTCATCAACATGAATATCATAATCATTATTATCGCAATCATTATCTTTATCATTATTATCATCTTTTTCATCAGTATCATCACCATCATCATATATTCAACATCATCATTATCATTGCACTATTAATACAATTCTCACCATACACAAAGTGTATGGTGAGAATCCAAATCAATTTTTATTTCAGCATTTAAAAAAAAATACCTTTAACAAATCACTTGAGAAAACAAAATTAAGAATGGAATATTTTATAATGGAATATGCAACCAACGAATGAGTTATCAAATAAAGATGCTACTAAAACTTGACACTTTGATGCCAACACTTGTTACCATCGTAAATAGAGAGGTCTCTGTTGCATCATTGCAATAGAAAAAAATGCGTACCAAGGGTAGTGTAAATAGACATCCAAAATTTTTTTTTTTTTAAATTCACAACTGTGTGAACAGGCGTCTAAATATGCAGATATTCATTTCAAATTCAGCGACACATTAATAATAATAAATCAGATTTTTAGAATTTATTTTTATGAATATTCATTAATATTTTCAATATTTATTACATATTTTATTATTTTTTGTTTGTTATTATTATTCATAGTCTTTGTAATTATTATGTATTATTATTTTATTTGTAATTATTATGTAGCTTTATTCTACATTACTATGACATGTGGTGCTATGGCAAAATTGATGTACAGTATATACTGTCAATTAAAGTTTATTTAGAATTTTAAAAATATTCAATGGCCACAATAAAATTCAATAAAAATATTATTATTAATTTGAGCACAACATTGCCAAATTTAAGACAATATTTAGCAGAAATTAATAAAAAACAAAATATTATGATAGTACACACAAAAGTGCAATATGAAAATACTGTCAATATCTTCCGTGTGATCACTGATACTGTATATTACATTAGTTGTCCAGATTTCTGGTTTCAATTATTCAATGATCATCTATGCTACACCAATCACATCTTGCGGCAATTAGCCTACCTCAATGTTCATTTTATTCATGTATTCATGGCAATAGTCGTCATGCGCTCAATCAGACGTCATGGCGCATTAGTAACCTTACTTGTCATTGAATATCTAGTCGTAACTTTATTGGTGAGCTCTGCCTCTCCTTTTTTTTTCCATCCGAGTATGTTAGATTATGTTAATTTAGTGGAATGAAAGTGCGTGTTTTATCCATGATGGTTTTTTGTGTGTGTGTGGAATAGCGTAGTATTAAATTGCTGACTGTTGATATTGATTGGTGACATCACTACGATACGCTTCACTGCATAACTAATGTTAAATTATGTTAATTTAAAGGAACAGAGTGTGTTTATTTTTCTATGGGAGAGCATTGTATTGAACGTAAAAAAGTGGAATTTTGTTGATCAGCATCACTTCACACTTAATTTAGTGGTGTTTGAATGCATGTTCTATCTGTGGTATTTTTTTTTTTTTTATGGGAAAGCCTTGTTTTGAATGTAAACAGTATATTTAATATTTAACAGTATATTTAATCTCACTTAACTGCCGTCCTCTGAACGAATGCTGAATTACGTAAATTTGGAAGGGAGTAGGAAGGCTTGTTATAGCAAGGTTATTTTTTTATCTCGGAGAACATTGTATTTCATGATAAACCATAAAAGTTTGTTAGGAAACATCACTGCACCTCTCTGCCGCATTAAAATTTATTATTGCGCATGTGATACCTAAATCTAATACTAAACCATCAAAACAGAATTTGTGGTTATTTTTAATATATTTTGCTATTAGAAAAACAATCCTTTAAAAAAATAATAAGTATGAATTTAATAATTAATAATTTATAATACTGTTTAGTATTTTGCTTAATGCCTCTAACAATAAAAAAAAAAATTAGTTTGCAATAATATATTTAAAAACATTCAATATAGTGGGTTAGTTGAGTTATTCCTCATAAGTAGGAAATATGACACAGGGGAGAAACAAAGGTCTGCGCCTCAGGGCGAAATCATTTTGTGTTACGCTCCAGAGGAGATAGAACATTAAAGAATTAAAGAGTCAAGATTTTAAGCAAATGATGTTGCTGATGTTAATGAAGATTTGTTGATAAGCAAAATATACCTCATTGCATTTTTTGTTGATGTTGAGAGAAATGCTGTCTGATAGCGAAACTGCGCTTTGTTGCAACGTGTGTTGATGAGCGAGACGATAGCTCATTTTGAAGACGATTGTTGATGATGTGTGCTTTGAAAAACCTAATGAGTGCTACGGATTACCAGCGATTGTAAATGATACGACTATAATCTAGCACCTTCTAAATAATGTTCTGTTTATCTCTGCAAGAGCCAAAGGTCATCAAATCTAACCTACATGTTTTGGTGACTGTATCAAGAATTATAATTTTTTTTTAATGAACAATTGTGTTTTTCTAGTTCGTTTTCTGAGATTAGTATGATGGCCATCTTATTAAATTATTTAATAATGTTATCCTTTCATTGTATAATTAGAGAATAAAACATTATGAATTATACATCTGCATAAATAATTTAGGAAATTAGAAAGTTACTAATTACATTTGTTATGATGGAATATAAACTTCACTTTTCATTTCATTTAATTCATCACTTGATAAAAAATACAAAATTTAATTCTATCTTTAAGGCGGACAAGAGTGCGAAAGCGCCAGCGTACGTCGATGCGGTTCTGTACTTCATACTTTGCGGCAATGCCATGGAGGATGACCAGCATATTTCCGACGAGAAACCTTTAACCATGTACACCGATACCATTGAACTTATCAAGTAAGTACCGTTACTTTATTTATCACGCTTTCCTTTGAATTTTCAGTAAAACGTAGAAAGGAAAAACTATGTGCGGCTCAGCGAACACTTGACATGAACTTCATTTTTCATTTCATTTAATTCATCACTTGATAAAAAATACAAAATTTAAAAAACAATACACAAGCAAGACAATACATATTAAGTCTTCTATGCATTTTACATCAACAAAATTACAATTTTAAATATATTCTTAATGGAAATATAATATTTATGATATTACAGAAATTTATAATCATTACCTAATATTGATTTCAAACCCCTTTTCCTTTAATATTTTTTCCTCCACATGCTAATCAATCATGTTTTACTAAAGATATTTTCTTTTTTATTCTTACACTATTTATCTTATATTTCAAACACTGTAGTTTGTAATCACATTATTTTCATGTTATTTCTCTTCTATCTTTAAGGCGGACAAGAGTGCGAAAGCGCCAGCGTACGTCGATGCGGTTCTGTACTTCATACTTTGCGGCAATGCCATGGAGGATGACCAGCATATTTCCGACGAGAAACCTTTAACCATGTACACCGATACCATTGAACTTATCAAGTAAGTACCGTTACTTTATTTATCACGCTTTCCTTTGAATTTTCAGTAAAACGTAGAAAGGAAAAACTATGTGCGGCTCAGCGAACACTTGACATGCTCTGTCAGGTTCAGGAAGACTCAGTATATTTTTTTGTCAGGAAACATTGTCTGATACAATGAACAGTGCCGTAATAATACACACATAACGCAATAAGTCTGTTGAAATAGAAACTAACTATCTGAATCATAGATTCTTGTAACTTTTGAAGACCCGGATAACATGTTTACGTCTGTAAATGCTACTAATGTAGCACTAAACTCTGTCACTATTAAAAATTTTTGACAAAAAAAACTGTTGTATGGCCATATACAGTCATGATGTTCCTATATATGATCATGACGTGCCTATATATGATCATGGCGTGCCTATATATGATCATGACGTGCCTATATATGATCATGGCGTGCCTATATATGGGCATGAAGTTACGTCGTCATGACCATATTTAGGCATTTTACATTTTTTATCAAATAAAATTATGTATTCTGGACAAGGCTTCAGATCAGAAGATTCAAAATGCGTCTAATATTATATTATAAATATCCATTCAAATATACTTATCATACCTTTGATAATATATTGTCACCTTTCAAAAATATTATGGCTATTTCATGCATTTCATGAATTCTACAAGATAGCGTAAAGAGTAATTAAATTTATTTGGCCAGGCTGTTACTCGTTTGATTGCGCGGCTTGCTCCAGCAGTTTGACCAAGATTTGTCTCAACTCGTCTAAACTTTCGAAATACAGGATACGTTTTAAATTGATGATATAATTCAGCCGTGATTGATAAAAGCTTTTCATGCATTTCTCTTTTAAAAACCACAATGCATTTTTTATTAGGAAATGTTATGTACAGTAAAGGTTATTGAAATAATATGTAAATTATATTTACATTTCTTTTCCATATATGTAAAAAATAGTCATTTACATCTGTAAATGAGGGGATATTTACATATCATTTTCTTAATATATATGTGAAGTTTGGTAAAGGATGATTAAAGTTAAATTTGAACAACTAATGAAAAATAAAAAAAGAAATATATGTGATTAATTTTTCTTGGTATTTTACCAGATTTTTTTAATGATATGTGAAATTTGTAAATACAGGATAAATATGGACAATTAAATATATATAAATAATAAAAAAGTAATAAACTTTATCCTAATTTTTTTTATGTATTTTTCCCAGATTTATTCATAGATTTAAAGATCCAAGATCAGAAAATGTAGCAGTTGACAAAAAATTAACTGTTCTGTGGTAAGTGTTGCAAATTATTTTTTTAGCTTAATGCTTCTTTTTCTTCTCAAGTCACTACGTAGCTAGTGTGTATGATCTTGCTTACATAGTGTGGTTGAAGGATTCGCAGGTAAGATACATGACATGGGCCGCGACGTAAACGCTCCTTCTGTGGCCGGACAGGGGGACGAAAATGGACCTGTACACCGGGGAAACCCCCCCCCCCCTAATTCTGGTAATACAAAATTGCTGTGGTTGATAAAATCTTTATGATCTTAATAATTTATTAGGATCGTTATCACTGATTGTCTTTTTCATTAATCCATTAATCCTTTGTTAATTTCAAAAATAATTGTATTATATTTCTTTGGTATTTTTCATTAGAAAATACATCTTTAAATCAATTAATCTGTGCTGACATAAGACTTGTTAGGCCAAAGCCTTTTTTTAGCCTCACTACTAATATTATTATATGGATTGCATGTTCCACAAGACACAAAATTATGTTCTTCTTAGAAATCCAATTGAAGTAGTCTTATTGCACACTGCAACTGCCTTGCATATTATTATGGAATCGGGACAAACAGTTTATATTTAATCTGTATTATGGTTTTAAAAAGTAATAATAACATTAATATTAATATTTTTATTATTGTTATTATTGATTACTGAGTTTAAGAAATGGTTATCAAAATATCAGTTAGTCTAGACTGACGTACTATAAGTGTAGGCGTGTGACAACGGGCCAACGTAACACCTGTCTAAATATTACGATGTTCAATGTATCATACGTGTGTTTGTATGTGTGCATTTGTCCCCACGGGGAAACACGTACAGACATGTTGAATGTGCAACATGCTAGAAATGTGACTCACATACAAATGTCAAGGTAGATGACGTGCGATTTTATTCCTGGTAATACCGTCACTACATTTAAGATGCGACTTGGATCAAGATATCAATCAAGTTATGTAATATTCTAATATATTAAAAAGTTTATTTTTTAATTAATCGTCATGAAGAACATTGCAGTACAAGACTGATTGGTGTCATAGTTCACATTAAAAACTTTGTAAAAAGATGAGATAAATATACAGGTCTTCCTCCAATTAAAGCCCCCTTCAGAGACATGGGTGTCAATGGCCTTTAGAAGCATTGGTTTCTGATTAAAATAATAAAGATAAAGACATTTTGTAATATGAGACCACAAAAAAGTGGGGTTTTTTGACGTGGCCTTTAATTTGAGCGGTCTTTTATTGGAATGGTCTTTAATTAGAGGGAGGACTTTATTTCCAAAAAATGAAAACAAATTCTTGCCATTTTCTATTCAGATAGTAACAATAACATTAAAATATATATTTTATTAAGGTACATTTCTGGAGGGTAGCCCGTCCAGCAATACTGATTGTTGAGGCCCTTGATAATAGAATGCAGTTACAAAGTACACAAAAAACATACATAAATAGATTATATAAAGCTTTAAAACACAATGCCTCTGATTGCACTTGCATAGCAAAATGTTGTAGACAACATTGTAAATGGAAGATTTCACTTTGTTGTCTGTCATGCCTATTTGAGAAAAAAATTATGAATTATGAATTGATGAAAGATATTATATACTGAATTCGATATCAAATACATTACAGAATATAATTGTGTCAAAATTTACATGTAATAAAAGATTTTTAGTGTAATTTATAGCGTGCCTTTCGTCAAGGGATCCAAGGTGCTGGCAATGTTATTAATTCCTCTGGTCATTGAATCCATATATGGCGAACCGGCACAAATGGCGACCTTCTCTATTCCTGTGGGAATATACGTAGACGTGCTGAATCGCACATAGACTTGGATATTCAAATCCTTAATCCCAATTTGTTGAAATTATAAATAGATGAAATCGAATTTTACTCTGGATATATTTTTGAAATATACAACATAGCTTAAACATTATAATTTTCCTTAAGTTGTGTGTACATAGCAGATTAGGACCTTCATTTCATAATCCTTTCAAATGAACTCTCTTCACGTTAAGATCAATATCAGACTATAAGTTGTCATTGTAGATCGGGGAATCGCTCATGTGTGACTGATTTAATTTTAACAATTTGATCATAAAATCATGAGTCAGAAATCCATGCATTTCACTACTCCTTTAAAATAACATGTATATTGTGGTTAACATATATTTACACAAGTTAATACAAATGTTTGTAATGAATTTACCTTGTTCCGGCTTACTTACATTATTACAATGGAAGAAGATAATTTTCTAGTAGTGCCTTTGAAATATTCAAAAATTGAATTACTTGTTAATTTAAGTGTGGTGCGTCATTAAAACTTAGTGGAAAATGTCTTTGGTTTCCCTTTTTTCATTTTTCCTGAAAGTTTTCTAATTTAATTTATTTTCATATTCTTTTTTATTCAAAATTTCCACTGGTCTTCACTCGTTTTCTAATTTTTTCATATTTGTTTTTCGCAGTTTCCGTTGTCAAGCTATTCTCTATATGCGGATGTTCCGGCTCCGGAAGGACGCCGCATGGAAGCACTCGCAGCATCTTAAAGATTATTTCAAGAACGTCTCTAAGACTCAGCAAGCTCCATCGCCTTGGAACTCATCCAAGTAAGTGTGACATAATGGTTAGGGTGCATGCCCTCTAATTACAGGTTCCTGGTTTCAAATCTGGCCAAGGCAACAGCTCAACACCAAATCGATTTTCTTTATAGAAAAATGTTAGAATTTCTTCTGTGTTTTTTGCTGCTTTTCCTAATTCATTTTGTTTTAAGAATTTATAGGTGTTTATTCTGTAAATATTTGAAATATAAATTTAGATATCATATATTTGAAATACATGTTTGACAGTTTAAATTTTATATCTTACAGATGTACAGGCACTCCATCGCCGATGTCCCCCACCCCATCCCCGGCAGGAAGTGTGGGGTCAATAGGTTCACAAAGCAGCACCAATGGCGACCCCTTCTCGTCATCGTCTCAGAATCGCCTGTCAAACGGCATGGGACTGATGTCTCCGGCGAGCGTCTCCATCTCTCAGAAAATGCACACGGTCATGTCTTCGTACTTCACCATTACTAATCATCACCTTTACAGCTTAGATCTCTGGGAAAAAGCTGAAACATGTCTTCAAGAAAATGCAGGTTTGTAAATGAAAAGTATGTCTTGTGGATTATTGGGAAGTGTGTGAGTGTGTAAGAAAATAAATGAAGGGAACTTTTTTTTTTTTACATTTTTCTTTTCATTTTTTAGTTAATTTTGACTTCTAATTTTATTTTTGTCCTAATTTCATTATCTCCTTTGATTTTCCTTGTTTTATTTTACTTTATTATTATACTCAAATTATTTTTTTTATCTCATTTTCCTTTATTCAATTTTCTTTCTCACTTCATGTTGTTTTCCTATTATTTTCCAATCTTTACCGTTTTCTCATTTTCCTCATAATGATTATAAATTGGCTTATATAACATAAACAAAAGTGTCAATGCACTTTACATTAACTTAATATAAGAGAAATGGGTAAATAAATAAGTAAATAAAAAAATCCCTTCTGTTTTACTTTGCTCGTGTTCTTTATTCTCATTTTCCTCTTTCCTCCTCTCGTCGTGATGTATTTTAAAATTAATTTTTCCTTCTCGATTTTGTTTTAATTCGCAGAGTTCTTCCGGGAGCTTGATCAGGAATGTGGGGCGTTGTCCCTCTACAACAGTACTCTCATCGATCTTGTCAAGTACGTGCGCGCAGGCTTACGGTGGCTCAAGGAAACATGACATCATTAGCGTGGTGCTCTCCGCCGGCACCATCACCTCTCATCTGCTAGTCATTAACCAACTCCCAACTTGAACCGCTCAACTCCATGTCCAGATTGTGCCAGCACTTGGTCTTTAAATTTAAAAGCTTAAACTGTTCCACCTTGTATCTTTAAATTTTGTACTGAAAAAATACCAATTGAAGTATAGGATGCATAAATGTGATGCATTGTGAGTGATGTTTGAGTACTACTAAAGGGGTTTAAGTAATACTCATATAAATATGTGGGCGTATTTAAGGGGGTAACATGTTTTGATGGGAAAAATCAGACCCATGATTTTTTTTCTATCTTTTTACTTCTCCCCATTGCTTGCCTTTCTAATGATTTGCACCCCCTCATTTTACACATTTTTCTCTTCCTTTAGCAGGGATATAAATTTAAAATGTTTTTAATTTTTGAATTTTATATAATTATATAGAAATGTTTTTATTCAGAGAGATCCTGAAAGCATAATGAAGAGAAAAAAGATTCTTACACCAAGCTCACAGAATGTAGAAAATTCTTGTAGATAATTTGAGTCATGACATAACTGTATCATGTGACATTTAACCACAAATCACAGTCCAGGTATTCAGGTACTAATTCTTATTACTGTTTTCAATTCAAGTTTTACATTCAATCCTACCTGAGCTTGCCAATGCAAAAATTCTATCAACAGTATTTCACTTAATAATAATTCACCAATTGTTATATACTTTTATGTTGTTAAAAAGACAAGTATTATTAACAGTAATGTCTATTGTCTTTTATATTAATTTTTCCATTGTATGCCTAATTATATAATTTTATTTAATTATTGGTATCATTTAATGTTGATGTTATTGTTAAATTAGTATTTTGTTATCTATTTACTTTTTCCATTGGCCAAACTACAAGAAATTCTCAAAGAGAATTAACATACTGAATGGGTTCTATAAATAGAATAGCTTTTCTTGCCAAAGTCTACCAAAAACTTCAATAGGCTATTTTTCATGTTAAAAATAATATTGATTCCTTACCATCTGTAAATTACTTAAAATTGTTCCCTTCCCCCCCCCCCCAATTTTCATATCCTCCTTTTGTCTTCCAAGAGTAGCTTCCAACCTTTAAACTTTTCTAAAGTGAACTTTAACCTTAGTTCACAATATCACCCCTTATATGAAATCAATCAACTGGTAATTACATAAAGGGGGTTTTCACCAAGTGCTAGGGTCATTAAAACGGTGAACTTTTTTTTCTATAAGGTTTCACACCTACATGCTTGGTAATAATTAATTTTTAGTAGTATTAATTACCATAATTAAATGTATTAGTAGTCAGTAGCTGTGTCAGTGAATCAGATCACAATCTTAATATGTGTAAAGAGTTACTATTAGTTTAAGTATTCGTAGGTGCGGGATTTCACTGCTCCTCAAAAACCTTTATTTTGATTTCAAAGCACTGTAATATATTCATACTACACAAAGCACTTTCTTGCTGTTTGAGGGCGCTCTTTTACTCGAATTGTATTGGTGAACTAAGAGCATTAGTACAGCAGGGCAATTTTGTTAAGCGGAGTATGGGTCAGCCTGGAAAAAAAAGAGGAAATTTATCGCTTTTATCTCATAATGACACAGGTCAAGATAGGACTTTTTTTTAATTCCATCTGATAGAAAGAATATATTTCAACAGAAAGAGTTTCTTTAAAATACAGCTGGAGTAACCTGCAAAAAAAAAAAAAGAAACTTAACTGAATGAGATATTTGCCAGTTGTGCATATATTGTTTTTTATAACCACACGCGTGTGCGCATTAATTATATCACATTGTTGTGTGTTGATTACACATTCATACTTGATTCTCATGTGTGATTGTGTATATGGAACAAACACACACGTTCATATTTGTATAAAGACACACATATATTTATAATGAATAGGCCTAGTGCAGGTCTTGCGTTTTATTTTACTGATACAGAAGAAGATGTGTGCTAATATGAAGTCATATGCTATAATTTATAAAGAGAAGAATACTTTTAAGGTTTTAAAAACCAAAAATTGAACCTTGTGTTGGACGGCTAATTGCCAGAATCTAGCTATTTCTGCATTTCTTTACGAAATCAGAAAGGAAGAATTCTGGTTAAAACATGTATTATGCCTTTCATATAGTGCCTAGTGTTTTATGTATTTATTTATTTATTGTTATTATTATTATTATTATTATTATTATTATTGTTAATAATAATATTATTATTGTTATTATCATTATTATTGTTATTATTATTAATGTTATTAATAATATTATTATTATTATTATTGATAATAATATTTTTTAATTGATGATTAAAACTACCATAATCCAAATGAATTTGTAATAATAAAGAGGGATTAATTTAATTCAGCTAACTTTGTTATTGTGATTTTTAGAGACAACTCCACAGAGGTAACCAATCAAATGAAAACAAATTTATAATACAACTCTTTTATAACAATGAAACATTCAGCAATGACCAAACGAGACACGTAAAATTCATTTAAAAAAAAAGATTGTAGTGATTCCTTTGTTTCACAAATAATGACTTACCCACCAGCTTCCTTAAAGATTTATTTCATTACTGTAAAATTTTTATTGATGATTTGAATTTATGTTCTTTCGGTTTATCTTCTATTAGGCATTTACCTGTTAAAGCAATATTTCAAATCAAAAATTTAATTAAAATAATTTTTGTGGATCTTTTTTTCATTGGTTTTTATAAAATTTGGTGCCATTCCTTAAAGGTGCATGACTAGCCTATTGAAGATATCTTACAAATTCATTTCAATAATTGTAAACAATTTATTTTCATTCGAAGAAACTGATTTCTCAAAGGACTTTTAAAATCAGTTTTTGTGTAATCTTTAACAAAATGCTGCAAAGTCATAACTAATATTATTGATTATAGATCATGCATCAAATAATATTGATTTCATTGATAAAATTGCATTCAATTTTATGTTATCTCAATCTTCCAAAATAATAAGGGAAAAAAACAGATGTTTATATTATAATAATAAATAATGAACAGGATTTTTTTTTTCTGCCTATAAGCCACCTGTTCATACATAATAAATCAATGCTCAGAAAAATAATATGTTGGTTTTTTTTAAATAAATTTTGTAACTGACTGAGGGCGCTGTATATGTTGATTTTTCTATCATTCATATTATTTAAGAATGTTGATCTAAGCATGCAAAGATATGATTCAATTCAATTGCATCAATTATTTACATATTTAAGCCTTAATATATGAGTTTATTTAACTGTAAATATTGTAAGTAAAGCATCAGAATTGTACTGTATAATAAAGAAGAAGATATTAGGCTGGTGTTACAGGCTTGAACGATCTCATATGCAAATTTTCATCCACTACTGCCTGAATATTCAAATTGAGGTTAACTGTATTCAATTGCAAGTGGAATACCTTACGATCATTCTCTCGCCATGTTTGAAATTCATTTTGGAGTAAAATCAATAACACAGTTTTCATTGTGCGTAAGGAATTAGTGAGTTCTTTTTAAACCAGTAATATATCAACGTTATGCATTAAACCATTTTCCAAAAGGTGGTTTATTGAAGAAGCAATTGAGAGAGACGGTTACGTTTTATCACGTATGAACGCATTTTTTCCTACTCGTTACAGTTACTGTACTGAAAAATTTTCCCAATGCTCTCTGATTTTAGAAAGTATTGACACTACAATGTTTTATCACTTGCATAGCAATATGATGATGACTACATTGTAATATTACTGTAATTGAACAGTAAAAAACTATAAATGGCGGGAGGGAGTTTCAGTGTTAATAATCGCCACTGTTTTCGCCCGTTTTTAAAAGGCATTGCCTATGCATATAGGTTGATATAGGTTTAAAGAGGGTTTTATTAATACATCTGAACCACAACATAACGTAGTCACAAACTTCTATTGAGTATGCGTGCAATTTTTTAAAATCTGTTACTATGTTGTAGTCTGCTTGTAGAGGTCACATAATCTCTCGCGTTTTAACAAGAATGTATTGTATGAGATACAGTTTTGCTTTTCGACTGCGCATGCGTCGATACAGTCTTGGATTATTAATTCAGATAATTGGGTTTTTTTTCTGACGATGGTATAACTGGTTTATCTTAGTATTCACACCTCGTTTGCATATAGCTGCCATTAACTATGTTTGCAATGTGGAAAATTATGTGGGCGTGGCAATTCCCACGATCCAGGTTTTGGTCACGTGAGTGAAATTACCATAATCGTAACAAAGAGAATTTGTGGGTAAGATTTTACACCAGCAGTTTCACTCTAGTAAAGGTTTGAGCTTTTCCAGATATTTATGCAATTTGCGGCGAAAAACCTGGCCGTTATTAATGAGTTTGATTTCGATGTACAGTATTTCCAACAACAGTCAAGCATTGGCCTAGTAATGTACAAACTGTAGGGTAACATTCCATTGGGGATAGGCCTATACCTATTGCTGAATCGAAAACTTCCCCAGATCTCGTAATATTTTGAGGGGGTTCTTATTTATGTACTGTGTTTTGTGTGTTTATTCAAAATGTATACTCTTGGGTTTTTTTCTTTCCAAGAGGAAAACGCAACATTTTGCTTCGAGAATGTTTCCGTTTATGGGACAGTCTGTATTTATATTTTTGCTTCAATTTCTTGTGATTGTAAATTGTCATTGTAACAGTGTATCATAAACAGCTTTTAAATCTACGATTTTAGGTTTAATCGCTGAACTTTTCATATCTTATCTGTAAGAAACAGTTGATGTTGTTTTTATCGATCTGGGGTTACCCACATCCATGTTCCATGCATGCTTAACATTTTCTTTAACTGCATTTTGTCGATTTCTAAACTTACCATGCATTGTACGTCGTTCTGACTACTCATGTCTTAAAACTGATTTTATAAATTCAATACAAGAAATATTTTTAAAAGGAAAAAAAAAACTGCCATTGTTATATGGTCCATGTCGATGATGATGCGGCCAGCTCTTGGGCGATTTTCTACTGATGTAATAAGCCCATATTATCAGCCAACTTCTTTGTTCGTTCTGTGCCTAACATATTGAGCTTGGGGGGAGATGTGGAATATGTATTTTATTGAAACAATGTATAATGAAACAGTGGTGATATTTCATCAGCCGATCACCATCAGTATAAATAAATAAATATGGAAGTGTGCGAAGAAGTACTGTGCCTCATTTATATTATTTATATGTGTCAAACAGATCACATACAAATCAGTCAATATATTAATTAATCAAACAATATTATTTGCTGAATCCTACACGCGGCGGCCCTGTTCCATAATAATTATCAAGCCCGAATCTGCGACAACAACGCCACAGTTATGCACCAAAAAGGTGACCTGCAGACGTCTGGTTGAAGAGGGATCTTCCATTGTTCTTTTGGACTTGAACGAATGCAATGCTAAATTTTCTACAAAGTAACTACTGTACTTGTTACCAATATATTTTCGATCAAGTTAGGTGGGAAGAAGTTACTTTTGACTTGGCTTTAAAGAAACTTTACCTAAATATTATATATCATCAGTGTTGTTGCTGTAGAGAATTAAGGGTGGGTGATAACATTGGTAAACTCAAAATAATAAGAGTGGATTTTATGGATGGAAAAGTAAGTAAGGGTGAATGGAGGCACTTGAAATTGACTTTAGACTTGGTAGAAAGCTACATTTCTGATCAGAAGCCAAATTAAATTATTTGAACAATATGCGCTTAAATAGACTGTTAGAGGAATAGAGAGGACGAGTGGTTGGAGCCTTGCTACGGGCCTAGTTTGAGCCGGGTATTAAACATATTCCAACACCCTTAGGGATACGGAGGAGTGTAGATAATTATTTTGGATTTTTTTAGGCCGAGCCGCCCAGGATTGACAGTACACGAAAATATGACTGTTGGAGACGCTGCTTGTTGGTTGAGGTAGTAGAATTGCTGGTTCGCACTGAGTAAGATTTGCCATCTGCCAGTGCTTCCAAATTTTGAGAACTTGCGAACAGCGATAAACAACATAACTGCACAGGACCAATATTTGTCATTAAAGGAGGTGGAAAGGAAAGTGGAGTGATTGATTGATGTCGGAAATGAACGATTGATGCACTTTTATCTATAATATAATAATATATCTAGGCGTGTTTCTGAAAGGAGATGAAATCTGCAATCGCGAGCAAGAGAGATATGTTTAGTACAACGAACCTAGAAGCGATTAACAACCGCATACAATAAAAAAAATGCTGACTCTTTTTCAGGGTAGTACAGTACATACGCTACATGAATTTCAAAGAAATATAATAAAGGAATAACACGCTTGGTTTATACAGGAATTTAGGTGATCTAATGCAGGTCAGTGTCGGTGGAACGTGCTCAAAGTGGGTGGGGGGAGGGGAGGCACTAGCATAGGGTATTTTCTGTCAAAAAGTGGGTTCCGCCGGTCATGCCAGTTAATGCACTCCTTGATACAGATGTAACACTGATGTTCACGTCGCAGCCCTGTTCCCGCCAATCCTTTTACCACTATACACGCAAATCGCATCGTTGAGTTTCAGAAATATACCAACATAGCTCAACATAGTATGAACCCGTGTATACTCGATAAGAAGATGTTACAGGCCCTATATATTGTTTTGTATTAGTAATTTCCAAAATTTGCAGCATTCATTTTGAAAAGATGCCTCCCCGAAGATCTGCCAACCCTGATGCAGGATAGTAATAGATGGCATGATGTGCAAAATGTCAGAGCTAGCTCGACCAGATGATGATACGTAGTTATCAAATCAAGTGGCTGCATAGCACCGTATATAAACAAACAGATAAATAATAATCATCAGCTATTGTCGGTCCACTGCAGCCGGACGAAAGCCTCAGCAATGTTATTGGGGCCTCTCCAAACAATACCAAAATAAACTCTAAGTGGCACAAAACAAAATTCTTAAATTTATCCTTGGCAAAGGCCAAAGGTACCATCTATCTCCACAGGAATTTAAATGTTGGATACCTTCCTATTAATTTAAGAGAAATTCAGCTTTCTTGTAATCATAAATTCCGAATCGTTAATAATTCCTGCCCAACTTATCTTATTGAGAATTTCACCAAAGTTAAAAATGTCCATAAATACTTTACTCGAGGAGCCAGGCATGACTTTGTCGTACCTAAATTTAAACCCCTTTTACAATTTCGCTTTTTCAACAATTGTATCTCCCGGTTTATTGAAAGGAAATTGACAATATAGGGCTACACATATTTAAACGTAAACTAAAACAGTAGGCCTATCTATTAAATGATCTGAAAGATTGATAAAGTTATGCCTATTTCCTCCAATTTCAAATGTGAATGTTCTCTGTGTTTTTTTCTTATTTTTTGCTTATAATGTAAATTTTAAGCCTGGACCCCAATGGAAACTAATCCATCTGTTTTGGATTAAATTGGGTCATCCTGAATCCAGACATTTTTGTATTCCTCTGTATTTTGTATTTGGATTCGAAATAAAAACAAACCTGTTGACGTACGCCAAATCAATCTCTCTCTCTCCCTCTCTCTTGCTGTGTTACACCAATTCACTCTTCTCTAATACGTATCGATCTCATGTCTTCATCTTTTACGTTGTCTTCCCCCTTTTTTTTGTTTTTTTTTTTCATCCGTGGGTCTCCATTCTGTTACTGCTTTTGTCCATTTGTTGTCTGACATTCTGCCCATTTCAATTATGTCCTGAATTTGTGTTGTTCCTAATCCACTTATTTGTCTTTCTGTCTCTGTATGTAATACCTAACATGTTTCTTTCCATATTGTGTTGTACTGAGGCTAACTTCTTTTAGTTGTACTAATGCACATGTCTCTGCACCGTAAATAATAATAATAACAGTACTCAAATAAAGGAACATGTTGTAATAATCGTGTCAAGTTTAGCTCATCAACAAGTCGAGGTACTTAGCTTTGTGCAAATCTAACCTTATTAAATCATGACAAAAATCATAT